CAAACTGGAACTTGAAATAAACTTTTTCCCCTTACTATTTAGACAAAGGTAAAATCTCACCCAAATATCTGCAAATTGCAGCTTTCTGATGATACACCAGCCCTGGGAGAAAGGAGGGAGGAAGGAAGGTAGGAAGGAAAAAAAAAAAATTAAGTAGCATGGAAAGCCCGTAGAGTGCTGATGGAGGAAGAAAATGTCCGTTAGCATGGATGCACAATCCCAGTTTTTCACTCTGAGTTCTGCCGTTTGTAAGAAGATTTCAATCATATTGCCAACCAGGAAACACCAGAGGCTCAGTGCTGCCAAATTGTGCATATTAATTGCAAAATTCTCCCCAAAGAGGTAAAAGTAGCTTTATATACATAGCATCTATCGGCACAAAACTTGTTGGACTTTAAAATGCTGTCCAAACCAATGACTCAAACAAGAAGGCTTTCAACTCTAATCAATATAGCCCCCTGCTTCAGACTTGCAGTCAGCATAAACCTTGATTTTGCAATCAAGTCTACAGATTGTTGCATATTCTACACAACTGCAAAACTGCTTTACTTTCTATCACTTAACATTATTGGTCAGTTTCTATTTGAATGTAAATGTCTTGTGTACTCAAACCCATAGTAACTATACCAGAGATAGGAAGCAGACAGCTTTACAGAGTACTAGCGTGCGCTCATGCAACCCAGAAAGAAGCTGCAGTCTTTATTGCCATTATTTTAAAGTTTTGGTGTGGATACAGCTTTTCACCTAGCCACCTTTTTTAGCTAGCTGCCTGGGGGTTTTCTTTTTAAAAAAGAGCAGCTCAGATCAGGAGCTAAAAACAGAGGTGGCAAAAAAAAAAACAAAAACAAAAACCAAAAAGCTGGGCTTGTCCGGAAATCTTAAAAAGAAACCATGATACTGGATTTACCACTGGCCTGCACTGAAGAAGAAATAAATGTGTGTCTTTCCTGAAGAAGGACACTTCCGTTCTGTGGCATGGCTTCTGCTATATTGATTTTGGGTAAAGAAGATACAGCATCAATTCGAGAAAACTTCTACTAAGTTCTTATACAATCACAAATGCGTTCAGTAGCTTTTTCTTTTTTTGCTGTTTCCTTGGGTGGAGCTACTGATGTTAGTGATGAGGGATAGTTACTTGCAGATTCCTTTTTGCCAGTGTGAATCTCACAGCAGGTCATCCTACATTAAAATAATCGTACAGATATGTACAGATACAGATACATTCTATTGCTAAAGTTTTGGGACACTACACACATAAAAAAAGCACTTGAACATAACTGACGAGATGCAGTATATGAGAAACGATATGTGCAAAATCTCACAAGATTTTATATTTATTGCAAAAACATCCATGAGAGAGCATTATTAAAAAACTCAAATTTTGCCTTAAGTTTTGTACTAGACTAACATACACTGAGAGTGACTTTAGTGCAAGCTTAACTACATCATGTTATTTCGGAGACAGCTGTTCTAAATCCTCTGAAACTGACTCAAACTCTGGCAGTGGGTATCTTTCAGACTCAGAGCTATAGCTGGAAAAGAAATCAACTAGGCAGTGAAAACTAGTTCTACACTTCTAATGCAGTCCACTATCTGGGCTGTGAATTAATCAAGCTCTGCCTTCATCCACTAATCCCAATTGTAGCACTCCCTACTGTCCAAAGTTAAAGTCATCTCCCTTTTTTCTGAAAAGTGTAAACAGAAATCGTAAGGGTGAATGTCTTCTTATGGATTATTTTACATGAATTTCTGTATTATCTATGGTTTGCCAGTAACAGAATTATTCTTCTTCCTTGCATAACTGATATCTGCCTGTATTCGTACCAGTCACTAGAAGTACAAACATGCTGCAATGAAACTGAAAACAACCCCCATCCGCAATGCTACAGGAAATATGGTAGAAATTGAGTTATTCTGATTTTGCTTTTTCTATCTAAAGGGTAAGAATAATCTAATACATTTTGTCAGTTAAATTCATTTCAGTGTAATGCATTTCTCTTCTACACTTTTGGAACCTCAAATATTCTTTGCTGTTTCCTTTACACTTTCTGCTTTGCTTTTACCTAAAGCTCGAACTTGAGCTTCAGCATTCTCCCTTTATGATTAAGGCTGCTCTCTGCTCCAGAACTGCATGTCTGGAGAAGAGTGCTTCAGAAGTGGTGCCATGAGTAGCAGCTCCTTCTCTGAGCTGCCTGTGCAGCAACAAATGCTTGTTCAAGGCATTTGTATGTAGTAGGCCATCCAGCTCTTCAATTCTATAGGCCTGTCCCTAAAAAGATTAAGGCAGTTTATAATATTATAAATACATGAGAAGTTTGTGAAGAGAAGACATTCAAATAGGAGGAGAAAAGCCTTAACTCCCTGGATAATTACTTGCTTACGTATCACTATGACCGCTAGGACTGCTGAAAACCTAAAGAATATCTTCTTCCCAAAAGAATACACGCTGCTTTGACTAATGAACATGATATTGCTTATAAACCACCACATTACAAGGCTTCTAAACGTTTTTCCTTACTACTTCTAGGACAATTGGCATAAAAATAGAATAGTGTAATCTTGTTTAGTACTTATAAAGAGAAGTCTTTCCATTTTAGGCCATGAATATGCAACTCAGTCTGGAGCAGCCGCGCAAAGCAGAGCAAGAATTTGTGACAGTGTCTTTAAAGAAAGGCACTCGTCTATTGAATAAAGAAAATTAAAATAAGGTAACATGAATGGAGCATTGAGATGAGAGTTCTATGCTGTTTCAGTGCCTTGACAAAATATAAAAGACAATCAGCTGCCTGTTATGTCCTTCTAGAACTCATTTCACATGATAACAGCTTGCATTTAACAGAATGTATATAAATACACCAGACCAGAATACAATAGTGCTTAGTGATGAGTCTTAGCAAACACTTAGGTTATGCTTTCGATAAGCATTTTTTCCATGCTTCATATTTTAACAAAATCACATTAACAAACGATACGGTATTTGGGGGCAGGGGTAAAGTTCCTTGTATCTGTAAGACAGTGATTGCAGCAAAACAAGCTTACCATATGGCTGTCAACAACCATCTCCTGGTCCCTTGCCATAGTGCTGAAAACTTATATTCCCAGCACACTACCTTGTCTCTAGCACCTTATCTTCCTTAAATCTGAAACTTGAGGATGAAGGCTAGCTACAACAGCTGCTTTCGAGACAGATCAGGGTAGGTGGGCAGCAAAGGAATCACATAAAGGAATAACAGTAGAAGTTCACAACCACTGCTACAAAATCTGAGTAAGGAAAGACTAATGCCAGATGTTTTGTCACATCTTATTTTTCTGGTAAAAACGCATCAACCTTGTACAAAAAACTAAATACTGAAACAGTTAATGATTAAAGCATTCATAAAAATTAATCTCATCTAGAAAGCTGACATATAGTCATCTGCTGTATCTCTATAGCACATTTCACCTGAAGCCATACACCTAGCTCCTGTTCTGTGGAGCAAGGCAATCATGTTCAGAGCAGAGCCAGAATCCAGGCTCTCAGAGAGAACTTCGCCACAGCAATTAGCAAGATTTCTTTGTAACAGACTTTTAAACATAAATGGACTTTTATTCATTAGATTAATCCTCTTCCACGATTTTAAAAGTCTGCCTAAAGCTAGACAGCTAGTCTGCTATTCTGTTTATAGACAATTTCACCCTGGTTTTAGTCATTAGAAGTTGACATGGCTTAAGACACTTCAAATTAGGACCTTAATAGCTGCTAGAAGTTAAATCTTCATTTAGCAACAAACAAAATCCAGAATTAGTCTGGGTTTAGTTTATTTGCAGTGTTTTAAAAACACTATACTGAGAACAATGGCAGACTTGCATCCTGTTTATCTACCAGGCAAGAACAAAACAGTCTTCAGAACTGTAAGGTTCTTTTACACCACCTTGCCAATATGATCAAGCACTACAGTTCAATTTCAGTGCTTGTTTACCAAGCCCCTGCCTTGGGAATCAGAAGAAAAACTGACAGGACTTTTTATACCACAGATACAGTCCCTTAAACCTTTAGGCACTACAAAAAGGTTAAGTCACTGTGCAACAATAGAGAACCCTGGCTTAATTAACATCCAAGTAAAGTTTCACATTAGCAACAACATCAGCTGAAGCTCTTTTGCTAGGGACAAGCCTTCTGCTTTCTGTATCTTCCTTCACTGTGACCCAAAAGAATAAGCTTCTGGCAGATGAGCACTTGTGCTCAGGAAGGCAGATTCTCCTAAGTGATCTTTGTATATACATTCTTACACAAATACTCAAATAGTATTTTTTGGGGGGGGAGGGGGGGGAAATGTGGAGGGGGAGGGAAGAGAGCCCTCTTGATAAACTTCTAATTCACTGAATGCTTTAGAGTGCCTCTCCTTGGATTTTTAGTATTTTTGGATTTTAAGTAGATTATTAGCATAATTCATACATATTTGCAAGAGGTAACACAAGGAGTTAATTAAGAATTATTTTGCTATTACATTTTTTAGACAAACATAAAACTGATGTGCTGGATCAGACCCAGAGATCCATTAGTCTAGCTTCCTGTTTGACGGAAACCGATATTAGAAGCTTTTGTGAGGGTCCTGAAAGGTCCATTTCAGGTTTCTGAAGGATAACTGCCCTATCTCTATCACACCTGAAGGCCACTGACCAGATACCTGCATTTCGGACAGAGTTCAAAGTAACACACTTCAGAGTGGAAGGTACAACTGAAGATATTACTACATCAATGTAAATAAATTCACTATTAGTATTAAATTGTTTTAAAAAAGTAAATATTTATTTACGTCAGCTATGAGGACAAAGTTAGATTTTTCCATGGTAGGTCTGCAAGCTCTGAGAGTGATCCATAGAGATAACAAGCCACGGTTCTATAAAACAAGCATATTTTAAACTGTCTGTTTTGTAGACTCTTTGGAAAGAGGAACCTAAATAGAAGTCAGCCTTTTTTGTTTGGGTTTTATTTTGGTTAGGTTTGTTTGGTTTTTTACCTTTTAAATGCTTCAGCAGGGTTCCTCTCACATTCCCCAGGTTGCAAGAGACTTTGAATAGCAGGATCTCTTAGTTTGTCCTCATATCCCTGGATCAGTCCACTGCGGCAGATTTGTGTAACTAAACCTCTAATAAACCCTCCAACACACAGTGTGTCAGAGTCTTGGGCCCTGCAGAAATGGAAGGCTAGAGCTTGACGATGTAAGCCTCTTTGTAGGTTTGCAGGTGAGCTTGGCCACAGTAACTCAGTACAGAGGGCTGTCTTCCCACTACCAGGCCCTCCTACCAACAATACACCCCAGGCAGCTCCTTTCCCAGAGACAACACCAGTATTATTCCCAGAATTTGCTACAAGAGATGGTTTGTTGGCAGCACTACTGCTGCAGTTAGCTTTCTCCTGGAGGCAGTGCTGAAGCTTGTGGAAAACCCACTCCCTACAGTAAAACTGCTTTCCTTGCAGCAAGCTGGTTTGAGCCATTTTATAAAGCTTCCTCTCTTGACTTTGTCATAAGCAGCAATACACCTTCAACATCTTGAAGAATGGAAATACTGATTCATCTTGCACAGAAAGTCTTCTGCACACAGGTTGCAAGAGACTAAGGTAATCAGTTAACCCTTGTCGTAAAACTTATCAGCCTCTTCGCAGGATGGGTGTCACTCCATTTGGATGCTTTGCTTTATTATGATTAGCATTACACATCACAGTTCAGCTGACATCATGAAGCAATATCTGATACCAACGCTCAATAATACTTCTCATACAGCTCAGAAGTTCATACAGCTCCATGACTACATCTGTAGTTTATGTAGTTGTGTGTGTTCCCAGTATACAGAGGAGACAATACATCTGGAAAAACTGAGGGAAAGCCAACTTTTCAGTGTATACTAAATGCCTTTCAACTCTAGGCATTAATCTCTCTGGATATAAATCCAGAGAAAGCTGTCCACAATAAAATGATCCTTCTGGGAATTTTATAGAGAAAGTTATTTTTCTTCAGAGTATTATATACATGGATATGTACCACTTACTGAGAAACGGTCAGTTCAGACAGTAAGCTTTGCAGACTTCATTCATCTGGGCAAGTGCCCAGGAAGTGGTTCAGATCACGGTTTCTTAAGTGGTATAGATGACAGGGAAAAAGAATTGTTTACAACTTCTTATTTCAGTACATTCATAATAGTCTTCTTCAGGAACCTGGATTCTTACTGAACCTGTTCTCAGGTATCTTAATCGCAAGATGTCAGAAGAGACAACATCTTCCCCTAGAGCTCTGAAATAAAGAAGACAGCACTTTTAACCCTACATGCAAGTCATAATTCAGTAATTTGCTAATGCAGACAACAAAGAATAAAGTCAAGGGCTCGTATTCATTATTTCACCCTATAATGTGAAACTAAATTAATATTAAACATTTTTTAGGAATTTTGGTATAAGCTACAATTAGCCACAGGTTACAAAACATAACAACAACAAACAGATGCGAGAGTAGCCTCAAAACCATAGAAGGTGCAAGCCTTGTATTTTCTTCTGAGAACAAACAAATATATCCCATTATCTCAGAAACACTACACCTAACAAGGTTTCATCACTGAAATCTGTCTCTATTCAATTTTTTTTTTTTGAAGTTTATTTTACATTCGAGAGCTGCCTGCAGCTCTTTGCACACTTCTTTGTTCACGACTCACAGACATCAGGACGCACGGCAGACTCGAGAGTCCCAGTTTAATACCCCCCCCCAGCCGCACGCCTGCCGGTGCGCTTGTCACCCGCGGAGTTCCGTTTCGACACCCGCCCCCCCACTTCCCCAAACAACACCCTTTATCCTGGGCTTCGCTTTAGCCCCCTTTTGCACAGCTGCTTTCAGCCGAGACACAGACACGGCTCTAAAGTCACTTCAGCAACGTTCTGGCAGCCCGATCACGCCCGCTTGAGGAAAAAAAAAAAAACCCTAAAGTCAAGTGAGCAGCTGGGAAGCTCCCCCCCCCCCG